GCACTCGGCGGCGGGCGGGCGCGGAGCATGGCACGGCTGCTGCTGCTGGTGCTGGCGCTGGCGGTCGCCCCGCGCGGGGCGCGGCCCCAGCCCGAGGCCGGCCTGTACTCGGCGGGGGACCCGCTGGTGCTGCTGGGGGCGGCGACGCTGGAGCGGAGCGTGCTCAACTCCAGCAGCGCCTGGGCGGTGGAGTTCTACGCCTCCTGGTGCGGCCACTGCAAGCACTTCGCCCCCACGTGGCGGGCGCTGGCCGCAGACGTCCTGGGTGAGTGCCCGGCCCCGGCCCCCTCGGGCCCTTCCTGCCGCGGCTCTCCCCGCCCGGCCGCCGGCAGGAGGGCTGGTCTCGCCCCGGCGGAGGAGTTTGAAGCGGGAGTTGTGTCAGCAGAGCCCGGTAGCGCAGGCTCGGGCAAGCGTTGTGGCATCTCGTAGAGCCCGGGCTCAGATGGGCCCCAGCAGGTCTCTCCGAGGAAGGCGTTGGCCTTCCACCAAGGGCTGCCCGTGCTAAAAGGTCACGGCTGCAGCTTTGGCCTTTGTAGGTCAAGGTTGGGCCTATCCCCTGGGCCGGGGCAGGAGACATTGGCTGGCCCCAGATGGCTTCCAGAAAGGGCCTCCTGTGTGAACGCGGAGCCCCAGCCTTAAGGCTTCATGTACCACCTGTGTGAGCCACGGCCTTACACGTCAGAGTCCTCTTCAGCCCAAAGGGTCCTTAAGTATTTAACAGCCTAATTGATTGCCTAACTGTAGGTACCCAGAGCTAAATAAACTACACCCCCCCCCCTTGAAGTGGAAAGTGGTAGTTGCTTGGAAATGCACAGTGCCACGCTGTGTAGCTTAGGACAGACGGTGGTGAATAATGATCCCAGCTGAAAAACATGGGGGATTTTAGCTATTCTGCATTACTGGGGATCCATTGTCATCACCCTGCTCTGGAGTGTGCCGTGCCTCAGCCCTTCCCTTACTCATCCTTCTGGAGGGTGGTGGCCGGTAATGGAGTGGCCCATTATCAGACCCAGCCTGGTCATTGAATAACATTTTGCTTTCTGTCCCAATCTGGGGATTCCCAAGCTGCCTCAGAAACAGGAATGGATTTTGCTTCCAACTCCTGGTCTGACAGAGGGAGCATTAGGGAGAACCTACCAGAAGGACTTTGGCACAAGTGGGGATGGTCCTCTGGTGTGTGGATCCCTCTACCACACAGTGAGGTTACTAGCTTCTGGAAGAAGAGGAGGGCCAGGCAGAGAGTTAATGCTGTCCAGTCCAGGCTTACTGCCAAGGAGGGAGCTCAGCCAGCCCATGAGTTGCAGGGCTCCGGCTTTGGCTTTGGCTTTGGCTTTGGCTATGGGTGCAATGTTATAAATCAGGTGTGTGACTTCTACTTTATAATATACAAGGGGCTGAGGCCTTACCAACAGTAGTGGTTGTGGTCAACATTCTTCTTCTTGTGTAGGACTTCAGAAAGTCGACTCCCCCAACCATTTAAGAGTAGATCCATCAGTATCACTGCAATCTTTCAGACTTGTTCGCTCCCTCTGGTGGACCATATAGAGGGCAGTCAGTTAGTTAATATATGCTGGGCTGTCTGAACTCCTTTGCCACAGGGACATGATGGTGAGTTTGTAAGGCTCATTTTGTTTCATTTTGTTGAAGGCTCCATAGCCTGATCACAGTCAATTCAGGTTTAGCCATGCCTTACATGGGAGTTTATGACCAGGAGGGTGTGACGATGGTAGTTGTATGTAGTTGTGTAGTGGGGTGTGGTTGTTATTCCATTGCTGGACATATTGCAGTGGTCAACATATTGGGCACAGACACCCACCCCCCGCAGGCCAGAGAGAACCAATCCGCATATGCTAAACCTGTGCACTGAGCTAGGCAGGAGTTCCTGACAGCAGCTCCCTGGTTGTTCCCTTGGGAAAATGCTTAACAATGGTCATGACTGACTGGAACTAGTGACCCATGTGGGTAGCAGGGAGTGGAACTGCATGCTGACAGATGCTGTACTACTTTTTTTAACTTGTGTTGACTCTAATGCCTGGGCTTGACATTATGGCTGTGAAGTGTTTGTGCTCCCACATGCCCTGCACAGATGGTAGCTTGGTGCTCAACAAAAAAGGACATCGAGAACCTCTGCTGGAGAGTCTCCACTTAAGAATCCATGGTTTCCTGCCCCGTGAAGAAAATACAACCTGCTCTTGGTGTGAAGGGGGATCTGCCCCTTTAGTGACACCATTTCTTACATGAATGCTGTTCCTGTGATTTCCCTGCATAGAGGTGGGTGCTGTGAGGGCCTGGCACAGCTCTCCCAAACTCTAGCTCAGGGCTTGGTGCAGTTGCCTGCGAGGGTCTGTTAGGTCCTACTGCAACACAGTTCAAATAAGCAGGCAGCAATGAGCTCTTCGTCTAGCTTTTGGCATACATGTGGGTGCACTGGTGTTGCCTGAACAGGAGGGTACAAGCAAGTCCACACCCCTTGCAGTTTCTGTATGACAGCACAGACAGGATTTGCTTTTTCCCCTCCTCTTTTGTATTCTGGCCCAAAAGTCTGTGTATACTGCAGGGCATTGGAGGAAATCTGGTCTCTGCTTCTCTGATGGCTCTAGAACAGGGGCAGATAAAGTCCAGCCTGATAGCCGAATCTTGCCTGCGGTGAACTCCATTTCCCAGCAGCCCCTGCTCACGAGGCTGTGACTGGTTTCCATGGAGTCCCCAGCAGCAGCCACAAGGTGATAGCTGGGGCCAGGGTTTCCATGGAGACTGCCCCGGCAGCACTGGCAGGGTGCCTGACAGGGTGAGGAGCTGCTCCAGGGCTGAACTGGGATCTTGCAGCAGTGACAGCATGGTCCAGAGCCAGGGCAGAGCTGCAAACACCCTGCATGTTCCTGCTTGGAGCATGTAGGCTGCAGATCGCAGGTCTGCTCTGGCTCCAGACCACACTGTCACTGCTGCAAGATCCCAGCTCAGCCCCCAAGCAGCTCCCTGCCCTGCCAGCACTGCTGAGGCCGATCTCCATGGGAACCCCAGCCCCACCTATCATAGC